AACAGATCCGCTTTCTCCCGCCTACCCGCCCCTGCTCCAGGATAATCCAATCTGTGTGTGTGTGTGTGTGTGTGTGTGTGTGTGTGTGTGTGTGTGTGTGTGTGTAGGACACAAATAGCAAGCAGGGTGTGACTCACACTGAAGTTGTCTAACTTGATTAAGCGAGCGTCTGCCTGTAACTAACTAGTTGTGCACGCATTTATTTACACGTGCACCCAACCAAATGATTCGCTACACGTTAGGTTTTAGTAACACTGAGCGAGGGTGAGCAAACATTTAGGCTCAAGGGTCACGTTTATCTGTCAAAGCAATGTGTAAGATTTTATTTTATTTTTTTAACAACTAACGTGCTTTTTTTCACGAACTTTAATATGCCCAAAAATGTTCAAGGGTTAGTGACCATTGAGAAAAGATGGTCAAAGACCCTTCCAAAGTTATCTAAATGGGTAAAATACGCCAACTTTTGATTGTTTGGCCTCTTTTGCTTGCCGATAAATGAGCACACCAAAATGCAAGGAGCAGCTCTCTGTAAAATCTGCATTTATAATGAATGTTAAGACAGTCGCTGCACATAAAAAAGCAGCATGTGATATGATGTCATCTTTTAAATGAAACATGATGGCTTGTTTGACTTTGACTGTGTAAATTTATTTAAAAAAAAAAAAGAAAAAACATTGGTGGCAGGCCGACATCAACAGTTTACATAAGGAGGGCGCTGGACGTCTTGAATTAGAAGTGCAATGCTTTGTGTGTGTGTGTGTGTGTGTGTGTGTGTGTGTGTGTGTGTGTGTGTGTGTGTGTGTGTGTGTGTGTGTGTGTGTGTTCTTCACTCCCGCTATGTACGGTAAGCTTGCGTGAGTGCCTACAGTTACACACGAGCCAAATTTAGACATGAAAAAGCACTCGCAGGCTACATCGTGGTTATTCGAGGTTAGTGCTTGCAATTAAACCTGGCATTTTAGTTTCATGACTTACACGAATAGCTGATGCAGATATTTCCACAATCCATCTCTGTTTGAACAGACACACAAACACACCATTTTAAGCTCTGCTTTGTCATTCGCTAGAGCGTCCTTGACCGTGACGTCAACTCATTAAATTGAGATAAAAGCCAAGCCAACGGATCTTTTCACTCTGATATTAAAAAAAAAAGTGGGGGGTGGACCGTTGTTCGATTCCTTGTCCATCATTTTTGTTCACAACATCACACTTTTGGGGTGATTGGGGGTCCACGCATGGATGAAACATCCATGTTTGCTTTGACCAGATTGTGTAAAGTGACACTAACAATAGCTCAAGTGTGTGTCTGTGTGGAAACACGGGCACCCACTCCATGCAAATACCACGTGCACAGTACACACTGTATCCATGGCAACAGAGAGAAAAGGCTGACTCGCTACATTTTGCCACCCCGGAGAGAAGGGGTGAGATGGCTGAACAGCGAAGATAATAGAAGTACTGTCAAATATGAGAGCAAACCTCTTAAAAAAAAAAGGTGTCTAATGAAAATGTTCCACGATTTAAAATGGTTCCCAGGCATCTTGATAAAAGCTCTCTGACATTTTCTCGAGAAAATACACATGGGATAAAGAATTAGAGCACACTTAATATGCACTTGTCACACGATGGTTGGAATCGCCGGTTACCATGACAACCACGGCTAGTGCATAGGCGACTAGAGAACTATCTGCATATAAACAATTCAAATGTCCCTATTCCATGATGTATACCCCTTTTAAATGAACCATTCAATAGAAACATGAGAAAACAGAGATGAGGATAACAGATTTAAAACAAGTTATAAAAAGGATGAAAAAGTACCTTCATCAACATCGGACAAATAGTCCTCTGTGATAATTTCGGGAGCATTGGCCTTACAGGCTGTGTGATGGGGATGGAGGCAAGTGTTAAAGAAGAAACATGGAAATGAAGTCAAGGAAAGAATTCATGGACAAATGATGGCATAAAATGAAATGAAAGAAAGCACAAATTACCAGACATCAAAAGAAATACTGACTGGGTGTTAAGTTTTATAAGCAATACAGAGCGCCTACCGTCATCGTCCGACATGTCCAGCACCTCGTTCATGGTCTCGGGAACGTTCATCTTGTGCTTCTCTGTGACCGTCTGTGCAAACGACACAAAAGATTCTCGACGTCAAGATGGGCATGTGCAAGGTGAACGATTGCGCTCCATGACCATGTTGCCCTTATCTGAACAAAATAGTCAATAATCAACTCCAATACATTGTAAACCAGCAAAAACGTGCAACGGCTGAGAGAGAGAAAAAGAGCTGCTGGACAGTCGTGGAAATGGATACAGTCCCATTCCATTTGTCCATATGCTTCAGCCAACGTACCTGCGTGGTCAGTGTCTCCTCTGTGACCACCTTGAGCGTGTCCACTACAGAGATGTAACCCAGCCTCTTGGCGATGGACAGAGCGCTGTTTCCATTCTGCATAGGAAGCAAAAGAATATGACACACAAAGTCCCTCCTGGTTACCTCGACTAAGAAAGTTTATTCAACCCCCCCCCCCGTATGATTGGTTCTTTGGCACACTGAAAATCTTCATGGGCCACTGGATGGGTTAACAAGGCCATCAAAAATAAAGTAAGAAAAAGAAATACCACCAAAGTGTCACACCAAAAAAAAAAAAAGTTCTAACTTTAAATAAAGAAATAAACACATTTATTAAAGAATGAATTTGTGAATTAAGACCGTGGTACCGTGGTGAGCTCATTGGGCGAGGCTCCGTGATGCAGCAGCAGATTGATAATGTGCGTGTGTCCCTGCTGGGCGGCCTGATGAAGAGCAGTGTAGCCGTTCTGTGAGACACCGAAAAATACATTCATTACACAGCGCAGTGGAAGAATATAATCAAATAAAAGTCCATTTCGGCAGCCAGTCAGTCAGATGAATTACCTTGGTTTTAGCGTTGACCTTGGCCTGGTTTTTCAGCAGGAAGTGGACCATCTTCACGTTGCCGTAGTGACAGGCCACATGGAGAGGAGTGTAACCCAGCTGAGGACAAAGAGAAAAAGAGAGTAACTTTTATGACATTGTCATTCAAATACAAATGACAAAGCATGCCAGAGAATTAAATAATGATGCTAAAAAATGATTTTTATCTCAGTTGAGTATTAAAGTGAATGTGCATGCTTGTGTTTGTCAAGTTAAAGACAGTTCATGGGGTCACCTTGGTCTCGGGGTCTGTGGTGGCTCCATGGTTGACCAAAACCTCAGCCACGTTGACTTTATCCTCCTGGGCAGCCAGATGGAGCGGGGTCAAGCCGTACTAAACATCAATGGCACAAAGGATGACTTAGGTGAATGAATTCCAAGTAAAACACCTTTTTTTTTTCTTTTCTTTGTATGTTCTTTAAGTTGCACCTTGTTGCTCGTGTTGACCGAAGCGTCTCGTGCCAGCAGCAGCGTCACGACGTCCACGTTGCCCTCCTGCGCGGCCAGATGCAGCGGGGTGATGCCCTGCCGCGTCACGCTATTGGTGGATGCGCCGTATTCCAGCAGCGTGGTGGCGATCTCCAACTGGTTCTTCTTGGAAGCGATGTGCAGCGGCGTGTAGCCGTTCTGGACCGCAAGTGTACAATTTCAACATACTGACTTTGCACCATTAATTTGACTTTACTGCTCAGGATGAATTCTTTTTCAGCATTTTTTTTTCCAGCTTTCATAGATCAAAGTCCATCCTCTGTGACATACACTGGTGGCATTCACAATTTGGCTGCGAACAGAGAGGAGTTAGTTTTATTCACTAGCTTAGCGGCTATTCTGGTCCATTCCAACAACAGGCAAATGCAAATTCGTTTCTAATTTAAATAAAAATGACGATAAGCTGTTCAGAAAAAGGATGGATGGCATCCATCCAGTTATCCATTTTCTGTACCGCTTTTCCTTAGATTCCATATTTAAATGTCAGTTAAACACTCTTACTTTGTAGTTTGATATTTTCCCCGCAGACCTGTAGATTGAACAGTACAAAATGTGTTCCAAAGGGAATTTGGGATCTGTTTTTTCAAATCTGGACCAAAATGTCACGATTTCGGATTTGAGCTGGTCGCACCCATCCAACTTTGCACTTGGTGAAAATAATGAAGAGAGGCTCTCACCTTGGCGGCTGCATGCGGTGAGGCTCCTTGCTTGAGTAACAATAGCGCCACCTTCTGGTTATCGTAGTGTGCAGCAACATGCAGTGGAGTTAGTCCACTCTGGACACACCAGCAAACGTACAGTGTTAGGTGGCGGTTAGAGCTCAATCGTGACTCCTGGAGGAGGCAAAAGGGGCGTCACCTTGCCAGCGGCGTCTGGCGCAGCGTTCTTTTGCAGCAACAGGTTGGCCACTTCCAACTTGCCGTACTTGGCCGCAACGTGCAGCGGGGTGAAGCCCTTCTGCAAAGACGCAAGAGGAGCCAAATTGGTTCCCTTATTTCATGACATGAGGGAGTCAAAAAATATTTTTTATATGGATATATGTATTAACTTTAAAAAAGCAATATACTAACACAAGTTAAAATAGATCATATGAAAGATACATCATTACACAAAACAAAATAAAACAAATATCTAAAATCGAAATCAATACAATTGCAAAATCGATCTAATTGAATTGCATCAGCGGTAGTGAGTGTTGCATGCTTGCGATGTTCACCTTGGTAGTGATACCCAGACTGGATCCCTGGTCGAGCAGCGTTGCCGCCACTTCTCGGTGACCCTCCCGCGCGGCCAGATGAAGAGGCGTGTACCCGGAACTGGTAGTGGTGTCGGGCGATGCCCCGTTGGCGAGCAGCTGTTGGACGATGTCCTGCTTGCCCAGACGACTGGAGATGTGCAGCGGCGTCTGCTCGTCCTGCCCGTATCAAAAAAAAAAAAAAAAAAAAAACAGGCCAATGGAGTCAAGTGATGCAAGATTGGTGAGACATTGTACAGAGAAGACGCGCGCGCACGCACACACATTACCTTGGCCTTGGCATCAACTCGCGCGCCATTCTGGACCAAATATCGCACCACATTGGATTGTCCCGCCCTTGCAGCCATGTGAAGTGCAGTCTCCCCTCTCTGGAACACACACACACACACACACACACACACACACACACACACACACACACACACACACACACACACACACACGCACACACACACACACGCACGCACGCACGTGCGCAAATTAAAAAAACACAAACACAAGGAGGTTTGGAGTGCAACTATGACATAAATAAAATACTACCGTACTTTATTCAGATGCTAACTCTCCTCCTGAATTTTCCAAAGAGACACAAGGGTGGAGAAATGAAGCGCTCCCATTTTTTTGTGCACGCCCTAATGACGTCCCAGAACACCGGTCGCCGCGGTAACCCGGCCACAGACACAGCGTGGGCGAGCAAATACTTGAGGTTGATGAACTAACTGTGCAGTACTTTATTCCCGCCTGTTCTGGTTGTTCCCCAAAGCCCCCCCCTCGATTTCTCACCCATCCTGCCCTCCCCTCCTGGCACGACAACTCCAACAGGAAATTTACGGTGGTAGCTTGCCTGGATTGGATGGAAACACGTGGAATTAATCTAATAAAGGGGTGTGTTTCAACGCACGTGCACTGCATTTACATTTCAAGCACTTTACAGTTGAGCCAGAATAATGATACATTTTTCCTGAGGATATTACTAAAACTATTCACTTGTAAATGGAGAAAGCAGAGTGGTAAACATCTCAAGATGATTGCAGAGACTGGTCTGAATTGCTACTGGCAGTGGTGGAAGTTGAACAGCTGATTAGCTGGCAATGGCTAACTGCCCAACATAAGTGTCCAGCAAAAGATCATCATTTGCAAAATATGAAATCTAAAACGAGAGTATAAATGGACGAGCTATTTAATTTGATTCCCAAGGATGTTTATGCTCTTTTTCTTACTCACCACGTTGCTGGTGTTGGGCGAGGCGCCGTGGTTGATGAGCTGGTGGACGATGTTTTCATGTCCCATGAACGCCGCGACGTGGATGGGAGTCAGGCCCGACTGGGGGTGGGGGAGACAAAATTGACATGACTTCAATCTGAAATTTTTTTGACATTTGATTGATACAGGAAGTGGAAAAGTGAAGAAAATGTGGAGCTCCTTCCTCTGTTCAGGTCTGAGGGTGGCTTAACACATTGCAAAAAAAAAAGAAAAAAATCATGTTGTTTGTTGAAAACATACTAATTTGCTGATTGTCATGTCAATCATGCCATGTCAATTTTTCACACAAATAAATTTGTTTTGTCCCGTTTTTAAACCCAGTGTCTGCACTACAAATAAGTTGTAGTTCACCCCAAAGGTGTTTTTGCACGCGACACTCAAAGCCCACATTTACGGCTTCTCATTTTGTCCCATGTAAAGAGCAAAGGAAACCCTTCCCATAAATTTGCAAGCCTACAACTGACCACAATGGCTCTGTTCCAAGCCCCAGTTTGTTCATTCAGCGCTGCGTCCCGCTACTTTTCTCCCATACGCTGTGTGGATGTGCGACATACCTCGGTGACGGCCTGTATGGAAGCGCCGTGCTTCAGCAGGAGCTCCATCACCTTGACTCGGTTCTTCTTGCAGGCGATGTGCAGCGGCGTGAAACCATTCTAGAAGCAGACGGAGGACAAAGGTGACTTCAAACAAGGATCCGGGAACAGAACGGCTGCTGGAACTTTGGATGGAAAAACCCACACTCTACTTTTTCTTCCCTCGACGAAGAGCGCGTGTGGAAAGAATTCACTCTGAATGAAAAGAGTTTGAGCTCTCGTCTCTCCTTCCTGCTTCAAGTTGCTCAATGCGATGACTTCACACCACTTTTTTTTTTTTCCCTTTCTTGACTCTGGACCCTGCCAGGCTCTTTAACCACACCCTGACATCTCCCGTTACACAACCAGCACAGCTGTCTGAACTCTGGGACAGCAGCTGAGGACGCAACATCTCTGAGGGTAGCATTTGAGATACATTAAGTGAAGTCCATGAGAATGTCGGATGGGGTAATTAATCGATTTTATTGATTACAATGAGTTGTCAGGATAATTTTCGTTATGGATTTTTTTAAAAATTTTTTTAGAGGCTTCTATTGCACAGCCTATTTACACTAACATGGCTGTGAACAGAAAGGACAGTCAGAGGCAACACAAAACAAATCAAAGTACCAGTGTAGCAAGTAAAAGTAAGGTAAGAATACGTAAATGGCGGACTTCATGAAGAGAAAAAAAGAAATCTGCCTCCTCACCAGAGCCTTGGCATTGGGATTGGCCTTTTTGTCCACGATGACCTTGGCCACCTTGTAGTGACCGCAGTGGGCGGCGACGTGAAGCGCCGTCAAGTAGTCGTTGGTCACGTCGTCCACCGGCGCATCGTGATGCAGCAGCAGCTGCACGCAGTTGAGGTGGTCGCCTTGCGTTGCCATGTGGAGCGGCGACAGACCGTTCTGGGCGGGCCGGCGTCGACAAAAAGTGTTAGAATGAAGGCTAACGGGAAGAACGTTAAGCGTGATGCGGCAGGCTGCTCTGGGGCGTTACCTTGGTCTTGGAGAGAATGGGAGCCCCTCGGCTGAGCAACATCTCCACCACCTGCTCGTGGCCGCTCCGGGCTCCGCAGTGCAGCGGTGTCAGACCGTCCTGAGGCATTGAACACACCAGTCAAGTCGACATACTATACAGGAGCAGGGGTGTTAGCATATGTATGCGTGCAGACCTTGGTCCGTGCGTCTATCTTGGCTCCTCGCTCCACCAGGAGGCGCACCATGTTGCCGTTCCCACGCTTGGAGGCCACGTGCAGTGGCGTGATGTCATTCTGGACGTAAAAGAAATTCATGTAAAATACATCCATTTATCCATTTTTTCCACAAGAGTCCTGGGGGGCTACAACCAGGACTGATGATCTGTTCGCGACGTTCAGTTTGTAACTTGCTCTCCAATCATGATGATAGCAACCGATTTTACGTTATATATTTCCATGTGTCAATGTGCCAAATGTTCTGGTTCCAAAGACTCTCTATACATTTGTCTATACGGGACGACGGACATGCAGTACGTGCGACACGTGTCCTTCTGCGGAGTGACACAGACAGCTGGCACATACTTGTGTCACAAGCACACACATACAGACACACACCACACAAACTAACCCGTGCCTTGAAGTCGACGGCAGCGCCTCTGTTGAGCAGCAGGGTGGCCACGTTGATGTTGCCGTAGTGAGCGGCGATGTGGAGAGGCGTGAAGCCGCTCTGAGATGCAGAAAGACACACACGCAGACAAAAAAAAAAAAACAGAGACTATTAAAATGATGCGGCAAGGTTTTTCCTGTGAGACGATGGGAGGCAAAGCTGCAGCAACTCAGGAACGAGTGTTGTTGAACAGAATAAAGCGCATGGGCTGCTGTCAAATGAATAGCATGCAGATACAAGAACACGCGAGCAGTTTTTAGTTGTTGGTAACAGCAGAAGATACAATAAGGATTAAATCATAAATATATTCATGCAGGAGAGCATGCATCTGACACAAACACTACATCTACATCAAAAACATCATCTTGAAATGTCACAGGAGCGAAAGAGGATTCTTTCCGGTGCACAAAACATCCATCCAAACATCTCTGGGCTATGTTCTCAACCACAAGGGTGCAAAATACCCTTTGTTAAATACGCAGGCTGCCGTGTCTGCGGAATTACAAACGCCCAGTCTAACACGCCTCTGCGCAGGTTGAGACCACACGTCGCACCTGAATTGCGCTGGTCACGAAAATAGAAGTCCTCATGTTAGCTTGCTGACCCCACACATCCATTTTGTACACACATACATAAATACAGTCTACGTGTGTGTGCGCACACGCACACACAGACACACACACCAAATGTAAATGAGATGTGAGGCTTCAGGTGCACAAAAAGTGAGGCAGCAAAACCTTTCATGCTAGCATTTAGTATCCATGCTAGCAGCGTGAAGGCTTTGCAGTGAAACCATGGGGAAGAGGAAGAGGAGGAGAGAGGAAGAGCAGAGCAAGAGAATGTGTGTACCTCTGTTGTTCTATTCACCATCATCTAGAAACAGAAGGTCAAAGAGGGACGGGGTGAGAAAGAATGTGGGGTGGTTAGAGTACCACACGACAACAGCGACACCATGGCGGCACCAAGCGGCATGATGGGTACGCACTCCATGAAATGACTTCAAAGGGGACCGGACGCACGACTGGACTCCTCCTCAACAGATGCTAAAATAAACACCCTGGCAAGATGCCGTCTTCCATTTGCCTACCTTGGACTCCACATCGGCGTTGTGGTCACTCTGCAGAAGGAGGGCGGCGGCCTTGGTGTCGTCCTTCCTGGCGGCAATGTGCAGCGCCGGGAGGCGTACCTTGCCCTTGGTGTCGTTCTCCAGGAGCAGTGACACCACCTGGTCGTGGCCCTGCTGCAGCGCCACCGCTAGCGGCGTGAAGCCGTCCTGCGCAAACAGCCAGAGAAACAATGTCGTTTACACTTGGTCCTTACCGATTAAACTAAAGAAAAAAAACATGGGTGGCTCATGTATAAATATACATTTTATTTCATCTATTTACATTACATCCATTTGCAGGTCGACTTTTCTAATAACTTGTCTTTCTTTATTTGAGTCGTTGAATATGTGTATTCATTCAACGGTCACCTCTGTGGCGATGCTCTGACTGGAGCCGTGTTCCAGCAAGTAGTGCACCACGTCCAGGTGATTCTCCTGCGCCGCCATGTACAGTGGCGTGAAGCCATTCTGGAAATAAATACCGCACAAAAGAAAAGGATACATTTGTGACATGAAATCAAAATGTGCTCTCTGTGTCGATTATGAAACACCGCCATGGCATATCCTCCTTATCATGCACACTCTCGATACACACACTGTCACCTCTGGACATAGCTTACACCTGATAACACAAGCGTGTGCATGTGCACGTACGTGTGTGTGTGTGTGTGTGTGTGTGTGTGTGTGTGTGTGTGTGTGTGTGTGTAGACCAATTTTAATGCATTTGATTCATTGGTTAAGTCATTAAATTGAATTGTAATAAGACATTAGGATGCTTTTAGTAATTTTCTATTTTGTTGTTTTCTCCTCAGTTTACCTGTGACTGCGCATTGATGTTGGCGTGGTGTGTGACCAGCTCCTTCACCACTTCCATCTGGCCGGCCAGAGATGCAATGTGCAGCGCCGTGTTGCCTTTCTGTGCCAGGGGAAAAAAAATAAAGAAAATACATTATAGCAATGTTTGGAAATGTGCGTGCATGCATGGCTCAGCTCCATTTTCCAATTAATGGGGCACTCCATGTTGAGTGTGTGAGAATGTGACACACCTTGGTGGCAGCATCCACGTTGGCGCCCTGCTGAAGGAGCTCGGCCACCACCTCCACATGGCCCTCCTTGGATGCCAAGTGCAAAGCATTGAGGCCATTCTGTGGACACATGTACACATACCCTTTTGAATTTTGCTGGTTTGTGACCGATCCGCACTTACAATGAGCCGATTTTGTCAAAGAAAAAAAGGGGGGAAGGAAGAAAAAAAAGAATTCAGGGCACTCAAAGTGTGTTTTAAAACTGACCTGATTACAAATGTTGATATCCACGCCATTCTTCAAGTAGTCCAACGCCTTCTCTAAGTTGCCGGCGCGCGCTGCTCGTAGATAACAAGCATTCACGTCCGTCTGTGAAAAAAAAAAAAATTATAATCACATACCAAAATATGAAAAAATGCTGACGGATTTGTTGGAAAAATTGTGCCAGGTATTGCTGGGGAAAAAAAGTTTGTTTGTATATTAAACAAAAAAAAAAACTTTTTCCAAGAGAAGCAGCATTAAAATTTGAAATTTTGCTTTGTGAAAAAAAAAGATTTTAAAGCCATATGACCTTGTCCTTTCTTTCATATAAATAACAGCGCTAACTTCTGTTTGTACAATTAAACATGCACAGGTTTAGCTGATCAACACAAACGCTCAACAAGGTGACTCTGATACGAATACGACATGACCCGCTTGACCTTTTACATGCCAACCAGAAGCCTTCCGATGAAACTTGAGATACGCCAAGAATGCAACCTTGGTTCTTTCGAAAAACATTGCAGTGGGACACGTGCCAGCAAAGAAGCATCACAAACATGTTTACACTTCACAAATGTTCAAAAAAAAAATAATAATAATAACAAAAGACAACACCCCCCCTCCGCCCCGCAAAAAAAATAAAATAAACGGGGAAGTCTCATTTGGGTTTGAGGTGAAATTTTTAGTGTATATTTACAATGTTTTTCAAATTCCGCCACAGAAGCAATAGTTTCACTGAGCAACATGAACTTCGGTGGGCAGGTCCATCATGAGTAGACCCACAAAAAACTGACACAAAAATTCTGCCATTTCATTTCATTTTCAGTGTGACGTTGCGATTTTAAGGTCAATTCCTTCAAAGACAAACCTGTCCTATTGATTCTTCCCGACTTCCACCAAACTTGAACTGCGGATAGCAGGACAGATGAGCAACACCAAATTGTGAAAAATGCCCCTTTACGTCATCGCCTGTGGGTTTAAGCATGGCGGCCAAGTTTGCAGTTTGTCTTTGTACCCTTCGCTAAGCCACGCAGAGCTGCCTTCCAAGGTCAGGTGTTTACCTCCATGTGTGTCGGCGTGCACCCAAAACACAAACACATTCTCCTCATCATCACGATGGGGGATGGACGCAGGTTCAAGGCTGCAGCGAGGCAGCACCGGCGCACCACTGCAGAGCACCATGACCCCCCCCCACCTCACAAAACGACCCCAAAGAAGCATATAAATCCTCGACTACTATCAGGACGGTCCATCTTCCGCTCCCAACCTAAGATGGGGGACTTACCACGGGACAGTCAGCCGCCTCCTCCACGGCCATGTTGAGCCTCAGCCTGCGGCAGAGAGTGTGAAACCTGAGCGCTGGTTGCTACTAGCTAGCACTACCACTGACTGAGGAGGAAGAGAGAGGGAGAGAGTGGTCGAGAGAGATAGGGGCATTATGTCAAAGCTAAAAATACCTGGCATGCAGTGAGAAAGTCCAGAACACGGCGGGGTCCTCGTGGGGGTTTAGACGGAAGAGTTCCGGTGCTAAGCTCAACGAGTGATGCAAAACAGTGCACGCGTGTCTGTGTGTTTGTCATGCTTGTGGGTGCAGAGAAACCGTGCATGACTTACAAATGTCATACAAGCCATTCGTTTTCAATAACGATTATCCTCATTAGGGTCACAGAGAGGAGCTGCAGCCTACCCCAGTTGACACGGGGCAAAATTCTGGGTACACCCTGAACCGGTTGCATATAGTGACAAACAGGAAATTATACTCACATTGACACCTAAAGACAATTTAGGGTGTTCAATAAACCTAATATGCTGTTTTGTTTTTTTTTTGTCAAACTTTTTTCAAGAAATCATTTTTTTAGGGGGTGGCATCCATCATTTCAAAGTGCATCCTGGCTGACGCCCAAGTAACTTTTCCCGACTCTTGTGCTGACTATTTTTCAACAATTAGACGAGCGACTTCAGTAACTGCTAGCAAACCGACAAATCAGCGCAATTATTTTCACACTGTATTTCATAAGACAAAAACAGATGTTGTCAAGCTTGCTGAACATTCAGATTTTTTTTGTCAAACTTTTTTCAAGAAATCATTTTCTTAGGGGGTGGCTTCCATCATTTCAAAGTGCATCCTGGCTGACGTCAGAGTAACTTTTCCCGACTCTTTTGCTGACTATTTTTCAATGAGACTAGCGACTTCAGTAACTGCTAGCAAACCGACAAATCAGCGCAATTATTTTCACACTGTATTTCATAAGACAAAAACAGATGTTGTCAAGCTTGCTGAACATTCACCCATTAGGAGAAAACATCATAAAAACGTTTGACTGCAGGTATGCGCTGCCTTACCTCACCTGTACAACTCAACACGTGTTACTCTTCGGCAACAGACGGATGGACCAACATTTTTGGAGTCACACGGCACACAACTAAAACCAAATTATTTTTTTCCCCTTAGTAAAATTCATTAATATTCCATCTCCAAAACTTGACAAACAGTGTGATCCATCCTAATTTTGGGACACTTCCTTCTTAAACAGACAGCATATGCCGAACGGTGTCCGGTATGACTCACCATATCTGGAGCAGACATCTGCTGCCTCGGCACGCTTTGGGTACTGCCACAATCAAAATCACCCCCGCCAAAGACCACCTTGCCGTTGGGTATGCAAAGACCCAGACGGCGCCATATAAAGGCCCCATCTCGTTTGGTTAAGAAGAAGAAAAATGTGCCGCTTGGCTCACCCTACTCTCATAGTCCAAAATAGCGCAGACAGACACAACTACCCAAAGGCGGCAGACGAGGCTTTCAGGGCAGAGAGATTAGCGGGATTTATAAGGTTCCTTCAGGTATTAAAGCAGCAAAACACTTTCTAGGAGACTAACGAGTGAACTTGGCATTCAACCATTACTCCAGTGAGGGTGTTAGCATTGTTCTCGCAGAAATTAAAGAGTCCCAAGAGGCTGGGACGTTAGCGTCATGTTAAACCACCACTCTAGTGAATCTTTGGGCAAATTCTTTCAGGAAAGGAAAAATTCTCATGAAGCTAGCAAGTTCGTTTAGCATTTAACCAAAAACAGATTGGGGCTGACAATCAAATATCAAACGTGTTCAATATTCACAGCCAAAAATCTTTGTGTAGAAAGCAGACCACTTGAGTTATGAGGCTAGCAAGTTAGCGCAGTTGATTTCATTTAAAACGACAAGTTGCAATAACAAGCAGGCTGTTCAATTAATATTTTGGGATGGCATCAAACAACACACACACACACGCCCAATGAGCCATCCTCTAGTATTTTCTGATAATCAACTAGGAAACAGCAAGAGGGACAGGTTGCCATGGAAACAAATGTCCTCAAATTTGCTGCGGAAATGTTGCAGAACTTTCTGGTGTTTTTCATTGGTGTCATTATAAATGCAGTGTGCGCGTTACTTCTTCAGAGACAACTTCAAACCCTGTAGTGGCCAAACATAGCATCAATTTCAACTTGGGTGGAAAACAAATTACACCATGTTCAGTGTACATTGATTTGAAATGCAAACATCGCTCCTGCTGTACACAGTGAGCAATAAAATGGATGTAATGCCGCTTGAATGTGATGAAGTCATCATAGGTGGGAATACGATCAAAAGAGGCGTGTGTGTGTGTGTGTGTGTGTGTGTGTGTGTGTGCGCGTGTTTTGTCCTGCCTCTGACTGCTTGTGAAAAGCTGCGATCTGATTGGCCAGCTGGCTACTGCAGTCCCGGCTCTTCAGATTCAGATGGAGGAGGAAAAAAACCACTGACACACTCGCGTGGCGTCCATACAAACATACACCTCCTTTCTTTTGCACAGCGGCATCCAACAGCAGACAACCCTCCAGCGTGTGTATGAGTGGTTCATGTCCATGATGCTTCGTTGCATTCCCAGCGAGCGGCCATGTTTACCAGTCCAGACACCAGCATCAGCCCCTCCCAGCATTAGACACCTCCAATAAGGGAAAACTCATAGAACTATAATAGCAAAGAGGGAGCGGGGTTAGCATCCGCTGCTGCGGTGGCGGCGTGGGTTAATATCCGAGACAGAGCAGTCGAACATGAATAAATAAACACAAGTAGCACACTGACTTGACAGGAATGTGTGCGGTGCACGAAGCCAGCTAACACGGAAACACAACACTCCAACAATGCTAAATAGGACAACAAAAAGGGACACAAAATAGGCCGGGTCGCTAAATCAATTCATTGAAGTTCTTTTTGTCGACACAATTTTATTTAGTAGCTTCTGTCATTACAAACACTGCTTTGTTGTTGTGCAACCGCTTGCACAAACGACATGACTGTGAACGGAGAGAAGCCAGTTTACAAAAGCAGAGTCAGTGTTGTCAAGTAGGCGGTTTGGTTGTTATATTTAAAGTAAAAAAAAAAAAAGTATTCTTATATCTCATTTTCATTTGTCTTCTATTGACCCTCTGTTGTTTGTGTTCATTTTCCAGCAATAACTTCAATCAGATTTTTGAACCTGAAATTGGAACAATTCATGAACTTCTGCATCCTGCTCTGAACGCCGGTGCCTGATTATCCTGTGCAAAGATTTACATCCCACCGCCACGAGGTTGCTGCTGACGAGCTTTCTCTATCGACTCCCATCGCTTCTCCCGCCATGTACCGTCTTTCCTCTCTCCTCCGCCCTCTAATGGAAGCGTTCCATAATTCATGCCGCTGCTCCTGAAGAGACCGTCGGCTTGCGGAGGCTCGCAAGGCTTTGCTCACATCAACACAAAAAAACATGCAAACAAGCAAAAGATGACGCAACGGTGCTGGAAGAGGTTTTAGGCGACAACCGCTCTGCTACAAGGCTACCGTGCTGTCGCAGGGACACTGCTTGCTTATTGAAAGGAGGATAACGATTTTTATTCTTTTCTCTAAGGGCAGTTATGGACCAATTTTTGGAGTTAGTTATTGAAAGAAAAAACAATTTAAATTAAGGATCGTTTAATTTTAAGTCATGGTCAAGTTTTAAAAATGTGTATTTTGGAAAATATATTTCATGAAAATAATGGTGACAAAACCGCAGTGCAACAGATATGCAGCAAGCAAAAAAAATAAATGAATAAATAAAAAAAAAAAAAACAGTAAATGAGCCATCAGGACGAGACAGTGAGGATCATTTTTCCATCCCAGTGCCAAGAAGCAAAACATCTTGCTAGCATTTTCCTTGTGTCAACAACAACAACAAAAGTTGTTTGCACACAAAAATATAGAAAGACAAGAACAAGCAAACACGAGTTCGCGCTCGCGTTTTCCTTGCACTGGACCAAAAAGAATGCCCCAAGAAAAACAAAAAGTCTCAGTAACAAAAAGGTGGGAAATGAAGGGTGGCGCCACACAGTGACAAAAAGGCGAGAACACACACGCACGCACACGCACTCGAAAACAACGAATCAATTGAAATGTTGATGCTCGAGCAAATGATCATGTAAGATTTGTCCATCCAACTGTATTGATCACCTCACGGATGTTTGTAACTTGACGTCGCCGTTTGCGTGCGCGCCGGCTGAAAACTCACACTGACGACACGCGCGGCGAACCGCAGGGTGTGACTGCTGACAGCTAAAACACACGAGTCTTGTGCGCAGACACACTTTTGGCATCCAAAGTCCATCACTGAGGGATAACAGAAAGCAATCAGATGGAGGGAAATATACTGGAACTACAGCTGCTCGTTGCATTTCTCTGATTTGCTGAATTAGCAACGGATGACAAGACCAGAAGCAAAATATTAATAGCAGCCAACTGCCTAAAATACCACCCTGTCCTCTTTCCCTCATCCATCTTTTTAAGTCTCCCAAAGGACCGAGCACAACACGCGCCTCCATCTTCCTCCCTTTTCTACCTTTTTCTTCACATCGCCTCGCGTCCGCTTCCTGGCCCGCTTGCGCTCCTTCTCCCGCTCTTCCTCAGCCGCCACAAGGTTCTCGTCCGCCTTCTTCTTCAGCTGCGAGGCGGCATGCGCCATGCCGTCTGCCGCTTAATCCGCACAGGTGGGCGAAAACGGAGGTGCGGTGGGGTGGGGATGGAGCGTCACCTCCCGCTCCTGATGATCTCCCTTATTTTTTTTTTTTTTGCGTCGGAGGTGGATGTCAGACCTCCTCCTGGTCGTCAATTAGCTTTTGCGCTCGAGGTCGGGATGTTCCCCTGGAGATCCTGCACAAATACGTCCTTCATTCCCCTCCTCTAGAAATCAAATAAATAATAAAAATCATCTCCTGGTGGCATGGTCCTCTTGTAAAATCATCCCAAGTGGAGGTCCACACATCCGCAGAGAAGCTCAGGGAGCATCCCGCGCTGAAGAGGAAGGGGGTGCAGACTGGTTCCCGGCACCCCCCCGGAAGCACCTGAGCGCGACACGAGCCATCCGCTCCGCCGCGTCTCGATGGGACGTATGGGCGGGATGGGAACGGCGGCGGGAAAAAGGTTGAGATTGAGAGCAGGAGGTGGGAAGAAAGGAGGGGAGAGGCTGGGGGATGGGGAGTGTTTCAGGGAGGGTAGGGGGGGGGGATCAAGAAGAACCTCTGCTTCATAACATCTGACACTTCATGAGTGGGAATACAGTACAATAGGGGATATATTTCTGGCAAAAGAGCAGGTTGGATAGAAGCGTGAGTGTCATGATGATAGCGGTTACGAAATTGTATCTTGTACCTCCCTCAAGGTCAAATTGGAGCACTTCAACATCAAGAAGCACTTCAATTACAAGCCTCCGCTGCACTGCACATTAAGACTGAGATATAGCCCTGAAATAAAATCTTTTTTTTTTTCCACAAAATGCAATTTTCATAGATTTTTTCCCCCCCTTCACCTATAGAAAAAGCAAATCACAATCTCAAATCCTGGCAGTCCTGCCTCATATAAATGAGCCACTGCTCACCGAGTCCTCCTCTACTGCGAGGTGACCGGGGTCTTAAAATTGAGTCCGGTCATCAATTGAGTGAGTACTGAGAAAGGATTTCGACCAATCCAGCAATGCTTTCCAAAAAGCAGATCTCTGAATATGGTGCATGCAGTTGATACATCAACTAAGAGTAATGTAGCAGAGCCTGTTATTAAGCAAATTGCAAATCTGCTCTCTTCACGGCCGCCCCCCCCCTCAACTCTGCGGTCAGTACAGAGTACAGATCTTGCCAACTAGGAGTGGAGCAAGGGGAGTAGTATCACCCAAACCTCAAACTGCAAGTGCAATCTGGGCAATCAAAGCACATACAACCCGCCACAGAGACAGCCTAGATTGTGATTGTATTTTCTTTCACAGAGGCAGCACTTCATCCACTTGAGTTAGTGCAGGTGCATGCATGTGGCCCATGCAGCGGACACTTCGCCAAACCCAAATGCCTTATGGAATGGACAGTCCGGCCAACCGACAGACAATAACAAAGAGAAACAGTAGGCTTCAATGTTCTAAATGTTTGTATTTTGTCACGACTACTATGAGGAGGAGAATGAAAATAAATATTATCGTGTTGTTTTCGATATAAGCTTTGTCATGTTGGAGAAAAAAATGTATACAGCTTGCCTTGTTGCAGACAAAAATAAATAAAAGGTTGATTGTAATGGACTTTCTGGCCACTTGATGGCGGCATTGCACTCAAAACGAAAAGGAGCTCCAGCTTGGTTTCCCTTGCTGTGTTGAATAGACCCTGCCAAGCTCACCAACTCCTTTTACTTTGGAACATGAAGACACGTTGCCTGTTTTTGAAAGCAAATAATGCTGAGTATGGTGTTGATCCAAATGAATGATGGTTCAAACCTGGCAGAGATCTGCGTTGTTTTATAGTAGCTGACAAATGACATCCTCAAAAGTATCTATTCTGCCAGCATCTAGTCACAGGGTTGGGCAAAATATGATCAAAAATATACCTTTCCTCATTCTTCGATCTAGGCCACTAGCATTATTACATCATCAAACGTCCACTCCACATCCAACCTGACGCACTTTACTGCAAATGGACATTTCAAATCAGATAAAGGAACGATGCAATTTGTCCCAGCGAGTGTTTGGAGACGCGGATGCAAGCAGTACGGGATCACATTAAAACAAAATGGAAGCTTCCGGGACTGGCGGCTAAAAGCAATTGTGTCGACAAGTTTGTGTGTCTGTCTATCTATCGGTGTGTGCGTCTGTCTGGAGGTGGGCTTCTCCTGCCGGCCACCCTGCCAGCCGTCTCCCTGGCAACCGTTTACACAGCTACAAAAATAGCACTCGCTCCGAGTGCAGAGTATCCCTTCGCCGTATGGAGCCGACCGCATCACGCCCACCTTCACACCTCGCGTCCTTCCACGAGGACACATAGATCCCCTTGATGGTGAATTCCTAGCGGAAAAAAAAAAAAATTAAAAAAAAAAAAAGAAGAGGGAAAAAAATGCATTCGTTTTCCAGGCTAGTTTGCCTTGCTTAGGTCTTAACAAGTGTGCACAAGTGTCATTGAAGATGGGGATGATGTGTAATTACGCCGGATTGTAACCGCACACCTTTATCTCTTTGACTTGTGACAACAAATCTGCACCCTTGCCTGCCTTTCCAAGCGCTAATCTCCATGGAATTATAACCCCTGCGTGACATGATGAAGGTTAATTAGACATGAACTTTTCCTTTATAGATGCTGATAGCTCATCATAATTCAGGCAGTATAAATGGCCTGGTTTAACTCAGCCGGGCATGCACAAAAAAAAAAAAAAAAAAAAAGACGACAACACCTTGGCAGGTTGTCATGACAACGCAACAAGGAAGGAAGGAAGGGCCTGTGGCGGTTGGCAAGATGATGAGGAGGTGACGGGAGGGAAATACAAAGGCTGCCCGGGCATCCCTTTGCCGCATTAATGTCAAAACGCAACCATTTTGAATTGTGAAGAATCATATCTCCTTTCAACGGTTCTCATTTAATGAATAATCTAATTAATGAGTCGGATTTTCTGGCGGAGGGAGACGGGAAGTGAGCGCACTGGAGCAAGATGAAGGCCGTAAGAGGGGCAGACGAGCGTCAGACAAATATGAGGGTGAAACGGAGATGGCTGCCTATTCCCTGAAAGCGCTGACATCACCCTTGGCACACTCCCGTCGCCATGGCTACCAAGGTCCATTAGCCTATTCGTGTAACTGTCAAGACACCTTCTTGATTCCGCTCTCGCTCTCTCCGAGTTCCACGGCCGGACCGCCAGTTAGCCGCGAAGGCCATTTCTATGACAAATGGGGAAGAAAATGTCAATCAAAAATATTTATTGTTATTTTTAAGACCTTAGATAGCGTACGGTATATTTTTGTGGTCATGGAATGACTTGACCGTGGTCAAAGGACACATGCAGGCATGCCAACATGGCGCTAACATGATAACTATCTCAGCTAGCCGGCCGGGGGTGTGAAATGTTTCTCCAAATTGCAGCAGAGAAGATTATACGATCATATCGACTTCTTGTTAATTAACGCGCACCAAAGCTGTTCCGAGGAGTTGCTGAGCAAGGCGACGCAACGACACGTTTGGAACGCACCCACTGGAAGAGTAGAAGAAGAAGAAGAAGAAAAGGTGTTCGCTTAACGAGCCAACAGGGGCTTCGTTCTGTTCCCGGGAAGTGTGGAAGGATCCCAGCCAAGCGTCCTGCTCAGCACAAAAACAATATGTTGGCACGCTGGCGGGAACGCTCACCCGCCGGAATATCAGCCGCTCGCTTCTGCTGCGAGCTGCTTAGCCAGCGACATGACTTTTAAGGAAGACGACGACGTGTAGGAATGCTGAATAATCGGCAAGATACATTTAGGTGAAGATGAATTCAAGGTATTTGGCCAATCTGGACAGAAAATTTTGTTTCCACAAAAATCCCATTTCCGATTTTCATTGATTGTGTCATAAATGACAAAGAGACGATCCAAATGACAGAAGCAGCTCAAAAATGGATTTCATAAGCTCAGAAGCATTAGAATACGGAACGCGCCATGTAAGGGATGTTTGATATCACATCGCAAGGGCACATGACTCTTCAATCTTTGGTACCTACCGATACCAAGAAACGATACCACTAGTACTGTTGAACATGGATATGTGAGAAATAAAAAGCACATGTGTGGATGATTTCAAATAACGCGTGGTGAGCGGATGCATGACATGGAAGGTTTGTGGGATGGAAAGGGCCGAATGTGGGCAGCCATCTTACATAAGCCGGTGAAGTCCACGTTTGCGCGTGTGAATCAAGCATTTGGAGAGCGCGCATACACAAGATGCCCGCCTCCCTCATTCAAGTCGAGCTCGCCTGTCAACAAAGCACGCTTAAAAAAAATGTCTCCAAAAAAAAAAAAAAAAATGTGAATAGCTTTAGCTCAGAGCCTCAAGTTTTGAAACGCGGGTATTAGCATGTTTTTGTTTGCTGGTCTGACACGTGGATATTTTTGTCAACAAGAATCAATTGTCATGTTCAAGTTTCACCCAAATTTTGCTTTTTAAATAAAAATGGACAGATTTTGTCGACGAGATTATCGTTTTATATCTACATCCAGATTATGCCTTTATATCTGGTTTAGCTCAGCGCTTTGAGTGACAATGACCATTTTTGTTTTGCCTTCCCATTTTGACACCGCATTTCTGATGCATTTCAGTTAGCATTAATAGCTTAAAACTGCACGATCACCGATACTCGATACACAACAGGCTGGTCGGACACCAGTTGACGCGTTTGTCAACGGGAATAAGTCACCATTTTTAATTTGAGAAACGGGAAAAAGGTTTGTTTAGCTCTGAGCCGCGCAGGTTGTCTGCGTGTGTGCGCACGCCTGTGTGTTTGTGTGTGTGTGTGTGTGTGCGTGTGTGTCGGAGTGAGCTGACTCAACGAAAAGCTACAGAACAACCATTCTTGGCCAGCTGCCTTTTCCCCCATTCCATTATTTTAAAAGAACTGATTGGACTTAGCGGCCTCGTCTGGTCGTAGCATCACAAAATGTTTAAACAATGTCATATGGCTTCATGTCATCTTGCTGTCGTCGGAGGCCAAGTGGACACCCCATGATGGGGGGTGGTGGGGTGGGGGATGCATCAACAGGCTGCAACAGCCGCACGAGCCGAACACACCCCGTCAGCTAACACACACGCGCACAGACACACACGTATATCGGGGGATGTCAATCGAGGTGAGTCATACACTACACTCTTACTTTTGCGCTTCGAAACAGGTTTCAAGGTTTTTTTTTTTTTTTTTTAAAGGAGGTATTTGGGGAAACAAAAATGTCTATCACCAATGATGCTCCGAAAAAAATACAAACATACAAAAGACACACAAAAGAGTGACATTCCAGCAAAAAAAAGTGAATCTCATTCTACCTTCTTTCCTTTCTTCTTGCGAGGAGCCGACTTGCCCGTCGCTTTTTCCCGAACGTCCTCGCTCATGGCGCCCGCCGCGATGGTCCCCA